GTAGTAGTAGTAGTAGTAGTAGTAGTAGTAGTAGTAGTAGTAGTAGTAGTAGTAGTAGTAGTAGTAGTAGTAGTAGTAGTAGTAATAATAATAATAATAATAATAATAATAATCTCTTTCTCGCTGGGAAATGTCCTGCTGTGTTGGGTGAATACATCGCCAGTGCTCCTCTCACGCCACTTGTTAAGCCTGGTGGTGGTATTCGACCTATTGCTGTGGGTGCTGTTTGGAGGCGTCTGGTTTCAAAGGTTGGGGTTTCTTTAATTGGTCCGCGTCTGGGAAACTATTTAGGAGGTCTTCAGTTTGGTGTTGGTGTGCCGACGGGTAGTGAGGCTATTTTTCATGCTGTTAATCGTTTGGTTGAGGCTCGTGGTGGTGATGTTGGCCTCTCTATGTTGCTAGTGGATTTCCGGAATGCCTTTAATTTGGTTGATCGTACGGCTTTACTGCGTGAGGTCCGTCTCCGTTGTCCAGATCTCTCGCGTTGGGTTGAATTCTGTTACTCTACTCCAGCCAGGCTGTTTTATGGGGAGTAGGGGTGAGCAAAGACCCAGGGTACCCGGTATCGGACCCGGAACCGGTAAGGATCCGCCGGGTCTGGACCCGGAACTGGTTTCACCGGTTCCGGGACCGGGTCCAAAATGTCGGACCCGGTTGTAACCGGTTCCGGGACCGGGTCCTAAAATTTCGGACCCGGTACCCACTGGGTACCCAGTTTAAGCCAATTCCAGTTCCGGGTACCCGGTCCCGGATCCAGACAAACCGGGTACCCGGAACCAGTACTGATTTAGTTATAAAAAATTATTTTTTTTTAAAAAAAACCCAACAATCCACAGTCCAGTACAACATTAGGCCCATTTCATCCAATTCATTTCTGCTAGGGTTTCTGTCAGCCACTCAGCTCCTCATTTCATCCATTCATTCTAGGGTGTTTCGTTCTTCTCTGTTCACTCTCGATGTTCTCTGTTCTCCTCTTTCGTTCTCCTCTAAAAATCTCATCCTATCTTTCGTTCTCCTCAAAATCTCATCCTCTCTTTCGTTCTCATCAACTCCCTGATTCTCTCGGTGTTCTCCGGTACCGAACGGCGGTCTCTTTCATTTTGTATATGTAGATCTCTGGTACTGTTTATTGCTGCTTGCATTTTCTTTGGAGATAGTTAGTGTGTACTGTGTATTTGTGTAATGCCTTATTAAAGAATCAACTCCCTGATTCTCTCGGTCAGATGAAGAATTAACAAATCAAAAATTGCATTACTTTAATTTCTTGATATTGCGCATTTATATGAACATGAGAGTGATTATAGCATTATGATGTGATTTTACTTTAATTTGATATAGTATGATGCAGAAACTTGCTAACTATAGTCCAAAAGATTATAGCTTTAAACTCATAGTATGTAGAAGTGTCTGATTTGCATTCATACTCAATATTCTATCTCACTATGTCTCAAATTCAAGCTGATTTGAAATAATACCGGGTACCCGATTTTGGAACCGGTTCCTACCGGGTCCGGGACCAGTTCCAAGAAATTTGGATCCGGTATTAACCGGTTCCGGGACCAGTTCCAATTCTTGGGACCCGGTTATAACCGGTTCAGGATCCGGGTATTGCAAATATGACCGGGTACCCGGTCTTGCTCACCCCTAATGGGGAGCATACCTTAAGGTCATGTCAAGGTGTGCAGCAGGGTGATCCTCTTGGCCCTTTGCTTTTTGCTTTGGTGCTCCATCAATTGGTTTGTCGAATCAGGGATTATTTCGACTTATGTTTGCAGGCTTGGTATTTGGATGATGGCGCTATTATTGGTGACACCTTGGTGGTAGGGAAGGTCATGGAGTTGATTTTGGTGGAGGGACCTTGTCTCGACCTCCATGTTAACGTTGAGAAAATGGAAGTTTTCTGGCCCACGGAGGACCCACGTAGCCGTTTGGCCGGTGTCTTTCCCCAGATATTGCTCGTCCTGTTTATGGTGTTAAGTTGCTTGGTGGTCTTGTCAGTGCGGATGCCTCTTTCTGTGGTGAGCTTGTTTCGCAGAGAGTGTCGAAGACCATTGTGCTCATGGATGCTGTTGCTAAGCTTAAGGATCCCCAATGTGAGCTGTTACTACTTCGTGCGTGTACTGGGGTTTCAAAACTCTACTTTTCTATGCGTACGTGTCCTCCTTGTCTTTTTGAAGCGGCCCAGGTTTCTTTTGATGTGGCCCTTCGAGGTTCTTTGGAGCGCATTGTAACTACTTCGTGGCCAGGTTTTGGTGATTGGCAATGGCGACTTGCCACCTTACCTTTTTCTTATGATGGATTGGGTGTCTATTCAGCGGGTGATGTTCGTCACTATGCTTTCCTTGCGTTGCGTTTGCAGTCTTTTGGTCTTCAGACTTCGCTTCTTCGCAATTCTGGTATTGATAGTCCAGGTCCAGTCTTCGATGGCGCTCTTAGTCTTTTTAATAGGACTGTGGAGACTGACTTTTTGCGTAACCCTAGTGAGATCGCTGCCCTCAACCTCATGAAGAAATTGGCAGATATATATTTCACGAAGGTCACTGCATCTGTAGAATCCACTTTCTCCTTATCTCCGCGCCAGGTCGCCTTATGGAAGTCCCAGCAGGGGGATCGCACATCTGCCTGGTTGCGAGCGGTCCCGATATCAGGTTTGGGTCAGACTATGAATGGTAAGACTTACCGTTGTGTTCTTTGCTACCGGTTGGGTGTTCCCTTGTTCTCCGTTCCTACTCCGTGTTCTGCTTGTTCTAGGGTTTTTGATGGGGATATTTATGGGGATCATGCAGTGTCTTGTGCTGGGATGGTGGGTATTAAATATCGGCACAACGTTGTTCGTGATACCCTTGTTGATATTTGTTTTCGCTCTGAGATTTCTGCAAGGAAGGAGGTTAACGTTGGGTTGACTGGAGGGAACGATGGGGCTCTTCGACCGGCAGATGTGTTGCTTTATTCCTGGGATAGAGGTCTTGATGTATGTGTTAACTTGACGGGGTCTTCTCCTTTGACTCAATCTAGGTTGTCTGACTTTGTTCCTGGTCGTGTTGTGTCGGCTGCGGCTCAGCGGAAGTGGGACAAGTATGGGGAGCGTTGCAGGGCAATTGGCTATGGTTTTCTTCCTTTCTCCTTTTCTTCATTGGGGATATTAGAGAAGGATGCTGTTGCGTTGCTGAAGCGGGTTCAGGCGTTTGCTAGGGCTCAGGATATTGGTGCTCGTGCAGCTGCTCATATCTTCAACAGGATCGGGTTCGCTATAGCTAGAGGGGTGGAGGCCCAGATTATATCTCGGCTCCCCTCTAGTTTCTTGTAAATCAATTGACTTTGTAGGTTTTTGTTATTTCTCATTTATAATAATAATAATAATAATAATAATAATAATAATAATAATAATGCGATGATAATAATAATAATAATAATAATAATAATAATGCGATAATAATAATAGTAATAATAATAATAATAATAATAATAATAATAATAATAATAATAATAATAATAATAATTCTGAAACCTGCTTTGCTCTGCCAGCTCTGCTCTGCCCATAAGCTCAAAAAAAACAAGGCCTTGAGCTAACATTTGATGATCAAGTTTTAACATTTTTTTACCTTTTAGTGATTATGGTTTTTTTTTCCCTCACCTTTTGGTATCAGAAAAGTGAGCTCAATCACCAAAAGGTGAGAGGAAAAAAAAAAACATAATCACCCAAAAGGTAAAAAATGTTAAAACTTGATCATCATTTGTTAGTTTAACTCCATTTCGACTAACACATGCTTCCTGAGGGTATGGTTCTACAACAAGTAACAAAATTGTAGTTGAAAATAACAATATTACATACTTTCGACCTATAAAAAGATAATCGTATTGAATTACTAAGTTATTTATACGAAGTATACAGTAAAATAACACACTATAATTTATTGATGATTACAGTCTTCCTATGAAGCATTGCAAATCCAATTTAAGCAAAAAATTAGACCCATATATACAAAGTATATATATGTATTTTCATCATTTTCTTCATCAATTATCAGACATAGCCACATAGGGTGAATCCCCTATACACAGAGGATCTATACGAGTATTATTTATGGTGTAAAGAGAGATACAAAAACATTGTAGAAGAAATTTAAACCCAGGTTGAATACTACACGTTCACTCCCCAAAGATTTTAACCAAGTAAGGTAATTAACATTCACATATATAGAGGATCTATGAATAATTAAGAAATGGATAAGCTAACCCATATGATGATAAGTGCAATGTAACTATAGGGCTTGATACATGAAAAGTACAACATGACGATGTTGCTCCTTTAACAAGTTCAAGAATACAATTTCCTTTCATCTTCCCACCTTTCCACAACTACCATCAACCATCCTAAATTCCTAAGTCATAAGCTTATACGTAGTACGGAGTAACTACAAAGATTTTATGCAAATTCACAATATAATTGCACGTACGACCAACTTGCCAATGACTACTATCAACTAGCCATCTATTTTCCTTCATAATGCATGAGTGCATGACACATAGTAAAATAATACGAAAAATACAAGTTTTATTAAAAGTAATCCCACTAAACATCGCCAAGACACCAACAAATTACCAAGTAATAAATAACAAAAAAGTTGGTAGATGTACAACATTATGTGTCACAAAAAATATACAAAAGTATATAGGATAATATGGCCAACAAAACTTACATTAGTAAACTTAAAGTATGATAATCGTACATTAGTACTACTAATATAAGCCAATATCAATATTTATTTATCCCATTTTCGCATACAATTCATGCATAAAAATGAAAGTCGGCAAATTGACATAAACAAGTGGAGCCTAAGTTGTGTCAGATAATTTCATGGGGTTGGCCCAAACGAAGCTACCATGCAATTTCCTTAAAACAACTCCTACGCAAATCTTTCCAACTTACGTTCTTTCCCTAGCACTTTCCATTTCAAATTCCTCTCATTTTTTTTCTTCTACCCTAATTTATTCCACTACTTTTTTTTTGTCATATTGATTGTAACTCTTCCACTTTTCCATTCCTATATATGAACATAATTTAGACATGACTCGAAATCACAAGGAAGAAGGTTGTTAGATATATATCGTTGTCTACAACTTTAAAAAATAAGATAAATAAAACATGGCATATGAGTGTATTCCTAGGTCAAGTAGGTGGTTCTCAAATGTTGGACTACGAATAAGCCTCCACAAAAAGAAGTCCAAGGGTAACTCGTCGGCCTCCTCATCGAGTTCCTCAGGCTCCCCTCGCTCCCCTCTACCCCCTCCGTCCATCCCTTTTGGCCCTACGGGGAGGAGTAGGGAAGAGGAGCTTAAGGAAGTCTTTAGACATTTCGATATGGATAACGATGGAATGATCACGGCTCTTGAGCTCCGGAGGTATTTTAACTCCATAGGGGAGATCATCTCAGAGGAAGAGGCCCAAGAGGTTATTGATGAGCTTGACTCAGACAACGATGGTATGCTCGAGTTTAAGGATTTTGTTAAGCTCATGGATAGTAAGGAGGGAGCGGATGAAGACATGAAGAAGGTGTTTGAGATGTTCGAGCACGAAAAGGGATCCGGTAGGATCACTCCTAGAGGGCTTCAAAGGGCTTTGTATCGCCTAGGGGATTCTAAGTCTTTTAAGGAGTGCGCGTCCATGATTCGGGTATATGATACTGATGGTGATGGAGAGCTTGATTTTAATGACTTTCATCAAATGATGGCTGTATAAATTTTCTTGCTCGTTGTATTAAATAATATGATAATTCTTTCTGATTTGGTTGTCATATTACTCCGTACTAGTTTAAATTACACAACTGTTTGAGGGACGATAATAATTTCCACTTGGAGGGATTTATTATGCATGTTTGCTTGTGTATGTAATCTTTACTCATGAGTCACTTTTGTAACAAAGGATATGAGGAGAGGTGGTTGAGGGACTTTGAAAATAAGTCTGAAATGATAATTGCAAGGTCTGGAATTGAACCCTAAACTTAATATTTTGATGGCTTAGCAGTTTGATAATACTTGTATTAACTATGAAGCATGCATAACAATTATATTATACAGTGTGTATAAAGCGGGTGAACAAGAGGTGATTTACAAATAAACATTCGTGACAATTACTTTAGTAGAAAGTAATTAAAGTATATACGTAGTATGTAGATAACTTTGTTAATTTTTTCCATTTAGGGAGTTTAGCTGAATGTTTACCAACGGTTTTCGTCATTGGATTATACAAAACTTAGGCTAATGTTTTGCAATTATGATATATGAAGTAGTACATATATTCAGCCTCTCATGTCGTCACGACTCTACGTTTAATACGACAAGAAATAGCAATTGTTTTAATTTGCAAATTAAGATTGATTTTGGAAAGTTTAGTTCTCGGTTGATCACGGATCGATAGTCATAATCTTACGAGTTTAACGAAATAGTTTTGATTTGTCTATATATAAGTTTTTTGTTTTTTTGTTTTTGTTTTTTTTTTTTTTTTTTTTTTTTTTTGTTTGAAGGATTGTCTATATATATATATATAAGTGCAATAACTAACAATCAATCAATCATTGTTGATAAGTTGATAACAATGATCATCAATGAGATAAAACTTTGCTGTCAAAAAAGAAGAAGAAAACAACAACAAACAATATAAGTTCTAAAGTCATTCTCTCAACGTAGTAAATGGTACGCAAGATTGCATAAAAATAAAGCACCTTATAATAATAAAAGGACCCTTAACAGATGGACATCGTTTAATTGGCCTTAAAATGGATATTGCGTTATCTTTGTGATTACGTTTTCTTGTGTTTTGTTGTTAATGGATTGTCATTTGCATATGAATCTTTGCTACTTGTCCAAGCATATGTATGTTACGGAGAAGTTGCCACCCATGTGTCCGTACGTATACAATCCAGTACAATTGTACAAATTTTAGGGTGTAAAAGATCATCTACTTGTATAATACTTCCTCCGTTTCAATAATATTGCAACAAGGATGAAATTACGCATCCCAAAGCACATTTTATATGTCAAATATCTATAATTGTATAAGTGTAAAAATTATAAACAGTTGATATTGTAAAAGTATTTTATGAGAAAGTATTTTATGAGACGAATCTAACAAGATCCTACATATATGACTATATTTTGCTTAACGTATAAATTATATGGTCAAACAAGAGTACGTGATGAATAGTGCAAAAATCCCATTGTTCCAATATTATCGGAACGGAGGAAGTATAAGGCTTCATGTTTGATTTTACTTTGTTTTAAATAAAGGGGGTTAAGGATTTGATTATACATTGTTTGAGTCTGTTAACTTTGATCGTATTCACTTTAAATCCTGTACACTTCGTTTTCTTATACTCCTGATTCTATGATGCGGATCAAAGGCATCATGACTAAGATTTTAATTACTTTTTTTTTTAATTATGATTGAGTCGTCTATTAACCGTTGATATTTGTTAGTTTAATTCGGTTAGTAGAAGATAGCTTAACTTTAAAGATCATATTTGCAAAATATTATCTTTACAAGTTAGGGTTAGTTTCCTAGTTAGATTAGAATTTGTTCTACACGATTTTAGGCTAATTGTTTAGCTTATAAATACGTGGTTAAGAATTAACAAAAATCAGATTTGAGTTTTGATTATCATATGAAAAACGTGAGCTTAGCTTGTGTTTATGGTTTATTAAACCTTGCCGTTGTGCTAAACTTTGGTTCTGGAACTGAGCCTTCAAGTATCGCCTCTCAACCGAGCCTTGGGAGTTCTATCATTGTTTCACAAAAAAAATTTAACTCGTTTTTCCTCAAGAAAAACGAATACATACCACCATAATCGTATAATAAACATATCAAAATCCAAGAAAGGTTTAAAGATTATTTCTCTTATTCAAGAAACTCAAAATAGCTGCGTAAATATGCATCATCTTGGTGTGGTTGCTACTACTGCTATTTGACGAGGGAAAAGGGTGCAGACTCGTACAAAATCTTGGCAGAAATATGGCCTAAAAAGGACAGTTTTGTAGGTCAGATTGTTTGGCTTCATTCCTAACTCTTTTTGAATGATTATTTTTTTCAAATTTGGATAACTTTTTATCTAGTTTTCACCTACAAAATTTCAAAGTTTTTAGACGTAGTTTGCTATTAAACTGGGCGTGTTTTCGTCAAGGGGTCTGTTTTTGTACCAGTTTTGCACAGCAGAAACTTTTGGTTCATATATGGAGTTCTACTTGGAGATTTTGCACGAATCTTTTTGCGTTGGACTCTAAAACATTTAACTTTAATCCTGTAACTTTTTATGATTTTTCGCTGAGTAACGAATTCTCAGCAACATCAAACTTTTGACGAACCTGTTCTACCTAGTTAGGTCGAAGCAACCATGGAGAATCAAAGTTTGTTTGAAGCATTTATGGTAGAAATCAAGAAAATGAATGAATGCTTGGAAAGAATTGAAGCACGTCATCAAAGATGTATCGTGAGATGTGGCTTACAAGATATGTCCTGTGAGAAGGAAAAAGTAGAGCAACCTATTGTTGAGGCTATATACGAGGAAAAGATTGTAGCTTTACCGAGTGATAATCTTACAAATTCAATTTTAGAGCAATCTCATCAGCAACTAGTAGAAGAAAAGGAAACTATGGAGCACAAAGATGTATTTTTGTCAAGTACCATCTCAGATGAGGAAGATAAATTTGAGGTATGTAGGTTGGAATCAAAAGGTCTAATTTCTTCTAGTTCCTTTGATGGTGATAATTGGGATGCAAATATTTTCACAGATTATTTCAATAATTGTATTGATAAACGTGTGTCATCAATTATATTTTTGGATCATTCGATTGAACATTGTATTGCATTTCATGTTGTGAGCTCTACGCATGTTGTGACTGGATGGACTAGACATAATTTTTTGGTTCATTTTCGATTGATTTGGATGATATCTTGGTTCCATGCTTTGCTAAAACTTGAAATAAGTTTTTTTCAAGAGGGGAGTATGTTGCGGATCAAGGCATCATGACTAAGATTTTAAGTACTTTTTTTTTTTTTTTTACAATTATGATTGAGTCGTCTATTAACCGTTGATATTTGTTAGTTTAATTCGGTTAGTAGAAGATAGTTTAACTTTAAAGATCATATTTGCAAAATATTACGTTTACAAGTTAGGGTTAGTTTCCTAGTTAGATTAGAATTTGTTCTACACGATTTTAGGCTAATTATTATTTAGCTTATAAATACGTGGTTAATAATTAACAAAAATCAGATTTAAGTTTTGATTATCATATGAAAACCGTGAGCTTAGCTTGTGTTTATGGTTTGTTAAACCTTGTCGTTGTGCTAAAGTTTGATTCTTGTACCGAGCCTTCAAGTATTGCCGCCTCTCAACCGAGCCTTGGGAGTTCTATCATTGTTTCACAAAAAATCTTTACTCGTCTTTTCCTCGAGAAAAACGAATACATACCACCATAATCGTATAATAAACATATCAAAATCCAAGAAAGGTTTAAAGATTGTTTCTTTTATTCGAGAAACTCAAAATAGCTACATAAATACGCATCATTCTAGCTATTTGAAAAAGTATTGTATAGATCTTAATGTAAATGAAATCTAATACTACGTTGTGTAAAGCTTATTAATGAGCTCTTGACCTAATGATTAGGTCCTGTTCTTTTGAGCGCTTCTGGGAGAGCAGGTGTTAGCAGAGCAGGTTATTAATACTCAGCAGAGCAGAGTATATTAGATTTTAGCAGAGCACAACATACCACAACAGATCAAAAGAACAAGGCCTAAGACAATGACCCTAAAATTTACCGTATATTATAAGGCCCTATTCTGTTCACCTTATTTCCATTTATTTCAGGAAAAATAAGTTCAGATAAGTTCATATAAGAGTTAATAAGTTTAGATAAGATAAGTTTGGGAATAATAATTTCAGATAACTTGTGATAAGGATTAATCAGGGCTACCCATGTTCAATTTATAACTAAAATAAGTTCTAATAAAGGCTAATAAGTTTAGATAAGATCAGATAAGTAAAAATCAGGTGAATAGAATGCACCCTAATATTTACTTTGAGCTTGTGTATATAGTCCTTGTGGCACATTTCAACAAAAATGGAAAAACAAAGGAGCCAAAGTGTAGAAGGGCGCATATACTTTGGCACGAAACGAGAGCTAGACAACCAGTTGACCCGATTGAATACGACAAGGATTACCATACTTGATTAAGGTTAACAAAACAATCAAGGAACCTCATTTAATCTTCTAAACAAAAGATAAGTGGGACCCCAGATTCGAATTGTTTGGTAAAATGAAAAAAAAAATATGGAATACTTAACAACTCTAGAAAACTCAGAACCGAGTAAAGGCGGTGGGTGAGAGGGCTAAGTAGACGCTTTCATCTCATCGGAAAACGCCGTAATTTCTTTTAACTCCCCATAATTGCGTCGGTAAATATGAAGGTGGAAATGATGGATACGTTTTCTGCGATGGTTGCGACGGTAATTGCCGGCGATTTTGCGTCGGAAAATGGAAATGCAGCAATTCGCTCCGCCTTTTGTTGGGGCGCTTCTTTTTCTGCCTTGTTAGTTTCTCTTTCCTCTTTTTAAGCTCTACACTATTTGCGAAATCATCGAATTTTGTGTTAAATTTGAATCAATTCTATAATAATGTTATCTCTTCCACTTTTTAGTATTGCAATTGTAATTGGTCTCCTGTTGTTCTTGATAATTGTGCGATCGATGTGAAATTTTCAAAAAACACGTTTTCTCAATTTTGATTTATACAGTAACAGATGAATACTGGTTGATTAAAGTTGATTTCTTTTAGTACATAAAAGTTGGGAAATTTTTTGCATATTATCAAATATGTTTCTAATTTAGATGTCGGTAAATGAGATTGATTTGATCAAAATTCGGTTCAAGTGAAGTCCAAACACATTATGCACAAGTTTAAAGTATAAAAAATTGAGGATATTTGACAATATATGTTTGAGACTAATCCAAAACATTTGATTTTATATATATATTTGT